AAAAAAAGAAAAAGCACAGTGTTCTCTCAAGTTAAAGAGTTCTCCTTTGCTTGCATTTGCATAGAAATTCCCAAAGGTCAGCACCAAAATCAGGTCCACCCTGTCCTACACCCTGGCTCCTCCAGTTCCTACGTTCCCCCAGTTAGTGGCTGTGTTACAGGAGGGTTCAACTATCTGCAGAGGAACTACATGGTCATGTTAAAAAAACAAAATAACAAAAACGAAAAACAAAAGTGCATCACACATTCTTGATTTTCAGGGTTACTTATAGCAGCAGCATCAGCATTAATCCAAGACAATGAACAGTTGTAGATTCATTCTTAAATGCAGCAACACTTAATGAAATGTCTTCAGGGAAGGGCATAAGAGGGTCCTTCTTAAAAATGAAAATTAAGACTATTCAATATGGACAAAAAGGAGCTAAAACAAAAATTAAAGACACAATCTTATTTACATAAAAAAAAAACATTCTTGTTAAAATATCTTTACAACACCTAAGCAAAAAAATATGTATTTTAAGAATAAAGCAGAAACTCCTAAAGCAGTATCCATTTTTGGAACCCTTATTTAGCACCTGAGGAAAGACCGTATGGAAAGCAGACAGGCTGGGGATTTTTTTTTTGTTGGTTTTGTTTGGTTTTTTTTAAGAAAACTGTAAGTTGTATTTTTCTAAATGTTCAGAAGTTCGCAGTACACAAGTTTCATACCACAGAAAGAAAGGAACAATTCTTTTTTTTTGTTTGTTTTCTTCTTTTTAAAGATCTACTCATTAATAAGGCTGTAGAAAAGGGACACTGCTATCTTACAAAATGGCTTCAGAGCTCTGGACACGTTATATGAAACTTTCTGATTAACAGTCAAGATAAATCCAGCTCAGCATCCCTTGGTGAGGCAGGATTCTTGCTCCAGTCCCAGCACAGGGAGGGGCTCATGCCCAGGACATGAGGCCACCACAGGGTTTTTTTACCTCCCCAGACATCCACAGCTCCACTCTCCTGTTGCTTTAGAGCATGTTGGGCAGGACAGAGGAGCCAGCCTGACCCTGGGGTGTAACATGTGCTGGGCAAACCTCTAAAGCTCTCTAATCCCTGGAAGGCAGCACATGGAGATCTCCTTCCCACCAGCCTTGGTTCCCAGCTGTGTGCACTAGGGTTTCCCCACGTGGAAAAATGTTCTGGTGGTGGCCAAAGCCAGAACTACTCTGCTTTCTTGGCTACTCCACCACACCAGCCCTTCTCCTGCCTTGCACACCAGTGTGAAAACGTGCAGGAGCTTTAAAGTGGGTGAATCCTTGTTCTCTCCCCTCCCGAGCTCAACCAGCTCCCTTGTAAACAGCCTCTGTAAGAAAAACAAACCACGAAGGATGGACGGACAGAAAAGA